CCAGGGGCAGCTTCCGCCGCTCGAGGGTCAATGCGTGCCCGCGGCCAGCAGCCAGTGGAGCCCGCTCGCGCCAGCCGGACAGACGGGGCCGCAGCCCCCGTACCTCTCATTTTCCCGCAGCAGGTCCCGCCCCTTCTTCCAGGCGAAGGTGGGCCGGGGGGACGCGTCCGGCTTGCACTCGATGACCGCCTGGCCGCCCACTCTGGCGAGAGTCACCCTTCTGAGGAGGCTTCTGGAAAAATCCGGGCCCGCAGCTGCGAGAGAGCAGAGGATGCAGGGCCGCTCCTGCGGAGGAGGGGCAGCGCCCCGACTTTCTTCCGCTGACTCCCCAGGATGTGCTGATGGGAGCCGGGGGCCTCCCGCGAGCAAGCTGACGTCCGCTCAAGCCCAGCGGGGGGCTCGGTGTCCTGGAGTTGTCAAAACGGGCGGGACGCGCCAGCGCTGAGCGCGCTGTGGGGAGCCAGCCTGGGAGGGGCGGGCGTGGGGGGCCCAGCGTGGGGTCCAGCCTGGGAGGGGCCCAGCAAAGGAGGCCCAGCCTGGGAGGGGCCGGCATGGGGAGCCGCTGTGGGGGGCCGGCGTGGGGGGCCGAGCGAGACAGACCCCCCCAGGTCCGCTGGGGCTTTCTCGCAGCAGGGAGGGCCCCGAGGTGTCTGGAATCAGGAGACGCAGCGGTCACCAGCGGTGTGGGCCGCGGCCTGCCCACGCCTGGGACAGAGCCACCTCCCGGAGCCCCTGAGAAGGCGCTTGGCCCCCCACCGGCCCGAACCTGAGCAGAGCAAACCACTGGGGAGCCCCACTGCCGAGCCCGGACTCAGCCCCGCTGGGTGGCCGTGCGGCCTGAGCCCCCAGGCAGAGGGCCGGACCCCCAGGGCCAGCCCTCATGGACACGACCCCGCAGAACCTCCCTCTTCTGGGAACTTCAGGGGGTCAACACTGCAGCAGAGGAGGGAGGGAGTCAGCCCCCCAGCCCCGACACCACCCTGGGGAGACCCCAACGCCCCGGTGGCCCCAGTGGCGTTCTCGGCCCACAGCTGGCACGCGGGGCCCGACACAGCCGCCTTGGCCTGCTGGCCGCCCGCGCAGGGTGTGCGGGGGCAGTGGGGGACCGGCGCCCCGCAATGACCGCCCACACAAAGCCGGCGAGGCTGCAAGCGCGTCGTTTCCATTAAGCGCGTTTTGGCGGAAAACTGCCCGCAAGCGCCCAGAAGAGGAGCGGGCAGCTCACTGTCCGGCGGGGGGACGCGGTGCCCCGCGGCTGGTGCGGGGTGACGGCGAGTAAGAGGGCCGCGCTCGGAGCCCCGCCACCCGCACCTCGCTGCCCTCCCGCATGCGACCTCCGCCGGCGCCAGGACTGAGGCCGGCGCCCGAGAGACCACGAGGTGCGTCCCCCTTCGCTGGCCACAGCCCCGCGTCCGGCCCACTCGCGGGGGGAGGGCCAGGGGAACCCCAACACAGCCCGACAGGGGCCGCCCGGCGTGTGCCGGGATGAGGCCCCAGAGTCGGGCGAGCAGCGCGGGGCGGCTGCACTGTGAAGTGAGCGAGGCCCACAGGCCAGGAGCGCGGGGGCGCCCCGGA